CGCTCCTCCGGCCCACGCCGCCGTCGTGGCCGTGGCCGGCTGGCGAGCTGGCGTGCGCACGCGAGGAGGCCGGCGGCGGGCGCACGCGAGGAGGCTGGCGGGCGGGCGCGCGCATGCGTGGGATGTTCGGCGCGCTGGAGCTCACGCCCCAAATATACGGCTTCGGGTCCAGTTTCTTCGTGCGCGCTGAACACTTTTTACGGCGTGCTCTATTATACAGCGTCCGCTGGAGTGTTATTTTTAGCTCTGCGCGCGCTAAACTTGTGATTTTTTTAGGTACGAGGCTGATATTGGGCGCCTGTTGGAGATGCTCTTAAACTATACCTAATGCATGGTTAGGTTCCAAAGGACCATGCATGTCCACACACAGCACAGGCGTTCCCACAACCACAAGCTGATCAGCATCAGAGGAGAGTGATGAACCAGCCGGCCTGCCAGTGCCAGAGCTCACACGCTACCAAGTTCCGAATTAAGACGACAGACACATTCCATGGTGCACAACAGTGCGCCAGTGGAGAACGGAAAACAACAGCAAACGTAAACATCAGACAAAGCTCACGTGATAAGGTGATAAGGGTAAGTAAATCAAGAGGATGGAAGAGAGAAGAGATGATCACCCAGCAGGTCAACCATCCACCCCGTCCATTAAGGAACAAAATTGCACTTCTTCTTGTCCTCCACTCAAATGGTCTTGTCCACACCCTGATTGAGACGCCGATGATCACTCTCGTTTGCAATGGCCTTGCTGAAATGATCGCCTGTGTACCATCTCGCCAGCCGAATATTCTGCAAATCTTCACCAACTGTTTCTTTTTCAAAAGATGCCTTTTCCTGTTAACCAAAATCCAAAAGGATGTCAGGGCAAGTAAAGATAAGTGCTAGTGGGTAGAGGTTAGATTTGTTTAGTGAAGCCGGTAAGATAAGCGATGTCAGGGAAAGCAAAGTACGAAGCGCTGTAAGAATTCATTAAGGATTGAGTCAAGGATGACCACAAAATCTACAATGCAGTTTTCTTTTGTACGGAAGGTGTTCAGGAAGATCGGGCAATTGACTTGTCAGTAGATTATAGCAGGAAGCCAATAGTGGAACACTGAAACGTCAGTGTGAAGTGTGAAGTGTGAACTGGGAAGCAGCTGGTGGGCTGGTGATGAACAAATGGGAGCAAGATCTGCTTATTTCTTCCCCCCGCTAGGAAGATGCTTTATCCAGTCAGTGCACAACTTAAGCTCTGGCTCCCATGCTAGTTTCACCACAAAACCATGCAGACACTCCATTTTTCCGACAAGACACACAGCAAGGTATTCCACATACCCTCCCTTGGCCTCGCACTTGTGCTGCTGATCTGCCTGGTCTCTCCTGGCAGTTCGTGCTCGGAGCAGGAGAAGAGCTCCCTTCTACAGTTCCTTGCCGGGCTCTCACAAGACGGTGGCCTCTCTGCGACATGGCGGAATGGCACGGATTGCTGCAAGTGGGAAGGGATCACCTGCAGGCAAGATGGGACGGTCACCGCTGTCTTGCTGCGTTGGAAGGGCCTCCAGGGGTACATCTCACAGTCCCTTGGGGTCCTCACCGGGCTGCAGTACCTTAATCTCTCCCACAACTCGCTGTCCGGTGGACTGCCACCGGAGTTGATGTCGTCCAGCAGCATTACTATCCTTGACGTCAGCTTTAACCAGCTAAATGGAACGCTCCAGGAGCTGCCATCTTCAACGCCTGCCCGGCCTCTACAGGTACTGAACATCTCCAGCAACTCATTTACAGGACAGTTTCCATCCACCACATGGAAAGCAATGGTGAATTTGATCGCACTCAATGCAAGTAAGAACAGCTTTACTGGGCAGATACCAACTCATTTATGTAATAGCTCGCCGTCCTTCGCTGTACTTGAACTGTCTTTCAACAAATTCAGTGGCAGCATCCCCCCAAGTCTTGGTAATTGCTCCAAGCTGAGAGAGCTCGGGGCTGGATACAACAACCTCAGTGGAGCTATTGACGGTACACACATAACCAACCTCGGAGATCTTGTAACCCTTGATCTTGGATGGAACAGCTTCAGTGGCAAGATTCCAGCTTCTATAGGACAGCTCAAGAAATTGGAGGAGCTCCATTTGGCCTACAACAACATGTCAGGGGAGCTGCCATCTGCTCTGAGCAACTGCACAAATCTCATAACAATTGACCTCAAGAGCAATCACTTCAGTGGAAAACTTACCAAGGTCAATTTCTCCAACCTGCCCAATCTTAGAATTTTAGACCTCTGGTTAAACAACTTCACCGGTGAAGTTCCAGAAAGCATATACTCGTGCAGTAATCTGATTGCACTGCGGCTATCTAGCAACAACTTACATGGGCAGCTCTCATCGAGAATAGGTAATCTGAAGTACCTCTCCTTCTTGTCACTCGGTAAAAACAATTTCACAAACATTACAAATGCACTTCAGATCCTTAAGAGCAGCAAGAACCTAACAACACTGCTTATGGGGCACAACTTTATGGGAGAGATCCTCTCACATGATGAAACAATTGATGGTTTTGGAAATCTTCAGTTTCTCGATATACAAGGTTGCAATTTTTCTGGGAGAATACCTGTATGGATATCAAGGGCTACAAACTTGCAGATGTTAGTTTTATGTGACAATCGACTCACTGGACCAATACCAGGCTGGATCACCTCTCTAAGCAATCTCTTCTATATGGATGTGTCAAGCAACAATCTTACAGGAGAAATCCCATCAACCTTGATGGAGATGCCAATGCTAAAATCAACTGACAACGCAACTCATTTGGACTCAACAGTCTTTGAGCTGCCTGTTTATAATGGTCCAGCACTTCAATACCGTGTGTTTACATCTTTCCCAGCAGTGTTGAATCTAAGCAATAACAGTTTCACAGGTGTAATTCCTGCACAGATTGGTCAGCTGAAGGTGCTTGCTGTACTTGACTTCAGCTTCAACAAGTTATCTGGACAGATCCCACAATCGGTCTGCGACCTCACAAACTTGCAGGTGCTAGACTTGTCCAGCAACAATCTCACAGGTACTATCCCAGCTGCGCTGAACAGACTGCACTACCTTTCAGCATTCAATATTTCAAACAATGATCTAGAAGGGCCTATTCCACCTGGAGGCCAGTTTGATACATTTCAGAATTCTAGTTTCAATGAGAATCCAAAGCTGTGCGGCTCTATGCTCACTCATAAATGTGATTCAGCTTCGATACCTCCATTATCCACAAAAACACGACATAAGAAGGGTCTTTTTGTAATTGCCTTTGGTGTGTTCTTTGGAGGCATCGCTGTTCTTTTGTTGCTGGGGCGTTTCATTGTACTAATCAGGATAAATGGCATTACAACAAGAGATAGAAGAGAGAATAATGGAGATGTTGAAGCAACTTCATTCTACTCCAGTTCAGAGCAAACATTAGTGGTGATGCGGATGCCACAAGGGAAGACAGAAGAAAACAAGCTTAAATTCGCTGACATCTTGAAAGCTACAAACAACTTTGACAAGGAGAACATCATTGGATGTGGAGGGTATGGATTAGTCTACAAGGCAGAGCTACCTGATGGCTCCAAGCTTGCAATTAAGAAGCTCAACGGTGATATGTGTCTGATGGAAAGGGAGTTCAGTGCAGAGGTTGATGCACTCTCCATGGCACAACATGATAATCTTGTACCACTGTGGGGTTATTGCATCCAGGGAAACTCGAGGTTCCTTGTATATTCCTACATGGAGAATGGTAGCCTGGATGATTGGCTTCATAACAGGTACGATGATGCTAGCTCATTTCTTGACTGGCCGACTCGGCTAAAGATCGCAAAAGGAGCAAGCCTGGGCCTTTCTTATATCCATGACGTCTGCAAGCCTCAGATTGTCCACCGTGACATCAAATCCAGTAACATCCTGCTGGACAAAGAATTTAAAGCTTATGTTGCAGATTTTGGGCTAGCCAGATTGATCCTTCCCGACAGAACTCATGTTACAACTGAGTTGGTCGGCACTATGGGTTATATCCCTCCCGAGTATGGGCAAGCATGGGTTGCTACTTTGAGAGGTGATATGTACAGTTTTGGAGTAGTCTTGCTTGAGCTGCTCACCGGAAGGAGACCTGTTACAGTCCTGTCTACATCAAAAGAACTTGTCCCATGGGTTCTACAGATGAGGTCCGAGGGTAAGCAGACTGAAGTCCTGGATCCAACACTTCGAGGAAGAGGATATGAAGAGCAAATGCTGAAAGTGCTTGAAACCGCTTGCAAGTGTGTTGATAACAATCAATTCAGAAGGCCAGCTATCTCAGATGTAGTCTCCTCCCTTGCCAGTGTAGAAGCTGATCCATAGATGCAATGATCAGCCAAGATAAAATGAACTACACATGATAGATAATCTTGTATTTTCGTGCATGATATACATGTAAGTATGTAACATTCGTAGTTTCGATAGAACTGCTACTTCTGATATACCTTTAGAGTTTGTTTTGTACTTTGTACAGAGCCTAATAGGTTGCCATTTTGAGCTTTAGGTACTTCTTTAAGAAAAGATTTTTGCAAGATTTCGTATAATTTTTCTATGTAAAGTATAGATATACTTAAGTTTCACAGGCATGGGACAAAGTTAGTATGAGAAATGTTTTTTTTTCTCAGATAAATATTCAAAATGGTTTCCATTCAAGTACAGATACCATGTGCTGTCAGCATTGAAAATGGTTTCCATTCAAGTGCAGATGTTGTGTGATGTCATCCATTTGCTTTCTATCAGCTGTTTTGAGAAAACCACCAGAGTTGGAGGTGCATTACCGAATTACTATACATCAAGGTTTGGTTAGTCCAACCATCGAACAACTGGAATGAGAATTTGAGAACGTAATACTACTACTGTCTTCAAATTTATATAACTCAGCACGGGCAACAGAATGAAGTCACTAGCAGAATAAGTAGTACGAGAGGAATGGCTATCAGAAGCACCTAGTAGTACGTACCATGTCGAAGGATTCACGTGGGCAGGTGGCAAAGAAACCACGGGCCTCACACAGGAGCTCGCCCCTCCGGCGTATAGATACGCATCAGAGTTCTTCCGAAGCTTCTTCTACGAGCTGATCCGGCTTCTCGACGGCAACCGTCGCGGTCCAAGAAAAGACACCCGGGTCGGCATTCCGCCGAACGGCCTAGGCGCGCTGCTGCCAAGGAGGCCGGCGCTGGGCACAAAAGGCCGGCATTGCGTCAGAGGAATACGAGTAGATGCCAGCGTGCGCGTGGAACGGAGCGAGCACGGCCGCGTGCGAGTAGGAGGAGGCACGTCCGTCTTCCGGTGAGAATGGTTGAGTTGCGACTCGCCGGGGAGCGGGGAGCGATGGCGATAGAGCGGCGAAAGCGAAAGGGTGTTGATTTTTTTTATTTTACTAGCAAAAGAGCATGTGCGTTGCAACGGGAAAAGAAAATAACGCACGGCCCTAACCCAATAACCATGACTAAGACTCCAATAGATATTGCCAAGGCGTCTCTCTCGGTATTAGATGAGAATCTGCTTTATTTTCATGCAATATTTTGTCAAGGCGTACATGCAAGGTTATCGACGGTTTCTTCTGTCTCCAATTTGGCTTTGATAGGGTGTTCATTGCAAAAACGCCACACCACTTGGATGCCGTCCAATTTAATCCAACGCGCTCTACACGTTCCAGTGAGCCGTTTCTTTT